AGACCGGCGCTGCCCTCCGCTCGGCGGGTGGGGGGCGGGGAGCGGGCACGGGGGGCCGCGGGGTGGGGGCTCAGCGCTGGGGGCTGCGGGGTGTGTGTGTGTGTGTGTTGGGGGAGGGGGTGCACCTGCTGGGGGCGTGAGGGGCCGCCCCCGGGGTTGGGGCTCTGTGTGTTGTGGGGGGGCCCTGCGTGTGCGTGTTTGCGTTGTTCGTCCCCACGCCCCCGGTGAACTTTTAATTGAAAGCTGCGCTTCAGGTGAGTGCTGCGGTGCTGCGTTGTGTTGTGGTGGGGGCACAGCCCTGCTGCCCGCTTGGGGCTGCGCTGTGTGGTTCCCCAACTCCCGTGGTATTGGTGGGGGAGAAGCCATGTTCTGACTTGCCATAAAGAGGCTGAGGCCCTTCCTGGGGGTGTGAGGGGCTCTGGGAGAAGCCCTTGGGATCAGCAGCGCTGCGGGGCTCTGCCCTGTCAGCTCTCGCTGCCCCCTGCCCTATAGCTGGGGGGTCGGTGCGGTGGGTGAGCCCGGTTCGGGCCGCAGTGTGCACGGCTGCTGCCGTGGGGTGACTTCCATCGGAGCCGTGGGATGTGTGTGCTCAGCACGTTCCCTGCGTGGAAGCGTTCCATTGCTCTCACTTTCAGTTTTGAGGTGGCAAAGCAGAGCCCTGCTGTGATCGGTTCAGATCCATTGTTTTGGTGAGCTTCCGGCCGGGCCTGACCACAAATAACACTGCTGAAGTCACGGGGCTGCTGGCGCTACAGAGTGTTTGGGTCAGGTGAGAGCTGGGAAGGAGCGAGGCTGTGCTGGAGGGCTGTGCTGTGCTCCCGGCGTGCTGCTGGGATCCCAACGTGGGCTTTCGTGGGGAAAGCAGCGCAGAGCTGCTGTCACTGCCATCAGCAGCACTTGGTGAGCTGCTGGGGGAGCTGCTCAGTTTGAGTGCAGGCGTTATGGCTGCTCCAAAGGGGTCTTCCCAGCGTGGTGGGTGTTGCTGGGTGCCTGGGACTGGGAGCGTGCTGCTCTCCCAAAGCACACGTCTACTCATTACTCGAAGAGCTGTGAAGGGTTTGGATGCTTCTCTGGGCTTGATGGTGGTCTGTCATGGGCAGGGCAGGAGAACGCTGCCTTGGAGTGAGCTTTGTCAGAGGCGTGTGTGTGGGGAAGAAGCCCAGCTTCCCTCTGAGGCCCATGAGAAGCAGCACAGGGGGAAGGCACGTCTCCAAAGCAAGAGGCACAGAGAGTGGGGAAGTGTTGAGTGGACTGAAGGCAGTGCCATAGGTGGAATAGCAGTAGCATTTCTGACCTGGTAGCCTGCCCTTGTCACAGACACAAAACTGGTGCCTTCCCAGTGAGCCGCGTTCCCACACTGTGACTACTTTTCCTTGGGCTGAAAGTTTGTGTGTGCTTCCAGTTGGTAAACAAAAGCTGTTACCTTTTATCAGCGCTGCTCCCAAGTGAGGCTTCAGGAGCATAGTTCACTGGAGCTTACCAAAGTGCAGAGGGTCATCTGAGTTCAGCCTTATTTTTAGGTCCGTTTGTTTTTTTTTCTGTTTTGGTGCCACTGTTGAGGCAATTACCCCATGGCAGACAGTCTGGAGGTGCAGTTCTGCACACACATGGCCGGGCTGTGCTTCTCTGCACTGCAGCATGGGGGCTGTTGGCTGATACGAGTCATCACAAATGCGAGTTATGTGTCTGTAGGTAGATAGATGGAGGTGCTTGCTCGGGCTTTTTAAACTACAGCTGTTTACATGTGGTGAACTTTGTGTCTTTGGAAGCATGTGGTTTCAGCATCACATGGAATTAAAGGGCTGTATGTGTGATGGGAAAAGCAGAATCGGGGGGGACAAAGCTGTGCAGGAAAGAGGTTTTCTTACTTTGTGTGCGTTTGTAGGAAGTGAGTAATGAGCGGAAAGAAAAACTTAGGGGGATGAGATTTTAAAAAGAGATTTCTTGAAAAGCTGGAGGGTGATGGACGTGAAGAGCAATGTTCTGACAGGAGTTCTGTTCTGTTATGTGCTGGATGGGAAGGCAGCAAGACACGACCTATGCTTTGATATGTTGCTGTAGCACAGTGGCCTCAAGAAATGCATTTTTCTGTGTAGGAGTAAGTTAGGCTGGCTTCATGGCTTTAGTGGTGGCCGGGCCTGGCTGCAGGCAGGAGCGGTGCCTGGCTGTTGGTGTGAGCCCCGCAGCCCTGCATGGGATGGATGGGGTGGGTCTGTGTTGCTGTGAAATGACACTTTGGGGATGCTTTTATCAAACCTTAGATCTGTCCATCTTTGCTTGCCATCAGGCTGTCCCTGAGGAGCAGGTTTGTGTGCAGTTGTTCTGCAGCAGGGTTTCCTCTGTATAGCGCAGAGCCCAGGAGCTGTGCTGTGGGCTGCCTGCTCCCTGCAGCCCTTTGTGTTTGTAAGTTGCTGTGTGTTCAGTGCACAGCACTTCTTTCCTTCCCTCCACGCTCTCACTTATGCACTTCCGAAGGTACTTTTTTTTGTGTGTTATGACCATTTGCTCTTCAAAAAGTCCTCATACTGTGAATAAATGTGGTGGATCAATATAATTAGGTCACCAGTGTCTTCCCAGCCCAGACACAAGCAAATGCTGCGCTATGGAATGCAAACAGATTGGTGTGTGCTACACTCAGAGCTGTTGTTTAAAAGTCTGTCTCTTTCCTTACAGCCCTCCCGCTTTGATTCCATTTCTGAAAAGCAGAAAGGGAGGGCTGGCATTTGTGGCTTTTGTTGTCTGTGTGTGTGCAGTATGTTTCCATGCATGGAAGCTCTGGTTTTGCAGGTATTCCTGGGTAACTCAACGTGTGCTCCTGTTCCCGCAAGGCGCACAGGCTGTGCTCAGGCCCTCTCAGCAGCTGCTCCTGCGGTGGCTCTGTCGGGAGATGTGTGCAGAAGTGAAGGAGAACCATGGCAACGTGGGATGGGGACCGGATGTGTTGGGGATCCATCTGGAGCTTTGGGATAAGGGTGGAGTGCTGGTTGTAAAAGGAGAGAGGTAGGTAGGATGGGAGGACTGAGGTGGTTCTCCTCACTTCTTATTGGCAGTACAAGCCTTGAGCTCAGGGGCTTTCTGAAACCTTGGCTGAGCGAAGAGACACAAGGGACAGCTTCATTGCCTCAAAGATGTTTCAGTTTTAAATATATCTGAAGCCTTGGAGGCCACGGAGTCATTAAGATTGGAAAAGACCACTATGATCACCTAATCTAGCCGTCACCCCATCTTTGTTCTTAGGAGGGCATGTGATAGGAGAGCATCCTCTGAAAACACAGCAAGTGGAGGAACTGCTCTGCAGAGGAGGAGCAGGCACAGGATGCAAGCATATTGCCAAAAATTAAGTGCTTTTAGACCTCGGCCATCTCCCATTCTGATATTCCACAGCCTTGGCACATCTCAGAGTTCTTTCGAGCAGAAATAGCTTTAATTTATTTAATGACAAAAGCTAATCATGTTATAGCACAGATGTGTCACTTTACTGGCTTTATAAGATTTTGTGGTGAAATGTCTTGGAGAAAGCCATTCTTCCAAAAATGGGATTTGCTGCAGCTTGTTTTCTTCTCGTGTCTGGAGACATGCTGGCGTGTGTTCTCTGACAGAAGTCTGCAGAACAAGGTTGCTTTACTCATAGGTATATATTTTGGTGTGCAGTACCAATTTCGGAACACGGGTTATATTTTTATCCATGGTAAGAAGTTGATAGGGGAGTGGTGGGAGACCTAGAAGTACGAAGTGTCCTGCTCAGGGTTGGGAAGTAGGATGCCCATCTGTGTGTGCGGGCTTTGTCTGTTGCCGTGTCAGGCTTGAAAGACTCTTTCATGTCAGCAGCTCGTGCTGGGCTGCGTGGAGCTGGTGCATTTGCTCTGGTTTTGTTTCATGGTTAGAGAGTTAGCAGTGTAGGCCTCTCTTTAGAGATAACCTATATTTTCTTTTTCTCCCTAATCCATCATTTTCAGGGCTAGTCAACTGTCAAGTTTAGTTGTGCGTAAATCCTCTAATATGATTAGAGTTGCTGGAATTTTCACTCTGAGGAATTAGAGGTGGGTAGTATCACTGCTTTACAGGCGTTTCTTTAATGGGAAGCTACATCTGTGACTGGATGTCTGCTTATAATTGCACAGGCTTTTCTGCAGTGAATGAGCAGGAGGGTGTCGGAGTTTGCTGCGGGGCTTGAGGTGCCGCGCTCTGGGCAAGCTCAGGAGCTTGTTTTCCCGTCCTGAAGGTTGGTGTGACTTCTCGCCGTTCCACATTTGCACTTTGCGGTATTTCCAAGAACTTCTCCTAGGCACAGTTTTCCTTTCCGGGCTGTGGACTTGGTTTTGCCTCCCAAATAGGAAATGATGATGTGGGACAGCTGGAAGGAGAAAATAGGATGGGTTCTTAAAAGGAAAGGATCAAAGGGAGGAGAGTGGAATGAGCTTCTAGGCTGGTGGTATTTTTGGGTATGTGTTATCCTTGTGTTGTGTTCTGTGACTCTGGGAGGTGTCCCAGAGCATGCTCTCTCCTCATAGCAGGTGATGTCACACTGTTGCTGATGGGACTTGAGTCAAATTGCTGCTGGGCACGTAACTGGGTTAATGGGACAGCGCTTCCTTCCTTCCTGAAAGGAAAATTACACGTTCTCTATTCTTATTGTACCTTAAAAGTTGTTTTTACCTCTGCTTTACTCTTCAGTCATCTGAGATGGCCAGAAATGGACTGCTTTCCTACACAAAGCAAGGCCCCAGGGCTTCCCTAGGTTGTGTCAGATCAAAGTCAACCCCACCACCAAAGTAATGCATTTCTGCTGTTGGTTGTAAGGCCTCTGTGTGTCCTTTATCTGGGTGCGAGCTGATGTATTTCTAGAACTCTAAACACGACCAAGGAAAAGCAAAGTGGATTCTAAACTGCTCTTCTTGACAGAGAAACACATCTTTGATCCTTGCCCGGTGCCAGGAGTGTCCTCTGAAACCATCGGGGGAGCACTGCAGAGAAGCGGGAAGAGCTCGTGCTGTTGAACATCGTAAATAATGCAAGTTTTCCTGGGCTGTAAAGCCTTTGCGAGGTGGAAGCTGGTTCTCTCTCAGGTTGCCAAATAACGATTCCCTGTTTGTTTTTGTTTTTTGTTTCGGTTTGATTTACACCTGAGAGTGATGATGTGTGAGTTACTGAATTACCAGGAGCTTGATTTGTATGCCTGTGCTCCTGATGGCTGAAATCAAAAAGTCTTAAAGCATGTTAGTTGTGACTTCTGATGTGAAATCCGTGGTGCAGGTCAGGCTCTGGGGTGTGCTGGGAGAGCAGTTTTAGGAGCGGCCGATTGATGCCCATTTCGGCCTTGTAAGGTTGGTGTAGGACGTGCTCCTGTTTGTGCTTGCTGAGCTGCTGAGGCATTTGGCTTGCTGTAGGATGTATGGTGAGCTTCAGTTTGTGGCATCTCTCCTTCCAGTGCTGACACACATAGAAATATTGGTTACTGAATGGTATGTCTTCAAATGCTTTACTTTTCTGGGCTTGTGTTTTGTATTCTGGAGCTGTAAAATGCAAATAATTCACCTGTCAACCTGTCTGCAACTCAGGCTGTGTGTTTCCTTCACTGAAGGTGTTTTAAGGTAGATTTCCAAGTGCTTTTACGTCTTCTTTCGAAAAGAAAAAAGGTGCACTTTTTGTTGATACACAAGTATTGCCAAGTGTAATCTTGCAGGATGCTCTGTGAGCTTTAACTCCTCAACTTAATTGTATTGATTACATTTCCAAAACCCTATTCTTAATTAAAAAAAAACAAAAAAAAAACCAAAAAAAAACCAACCAAACAAACAAAAAAACAAAAACAAAAAACTCCACAAACCACGAAAGTCCACCCGCACAACTGAACTGCTTCATTTTTAAGTGTTTGGTTCCGAGTTTGCGCACTGAGTTTGGCTGTGCAGGATTCCCATTCCGCACCCAAAACATGGGATCCATCTATGCTGCAGGGCAGTGGCACCTGGCGCTGCAGGCCTATCAGAAACCACTGCTGCTGGTGCTTGGCACGGTCTCCTTCTCTTGCTGAAGCCAAAGCATACTTTATCCACTCAGGCTGACATTAAGATCATTAAATAAATGAATGAATTGTGCTGTCACCAAATTCCGATCCTGGCAGACTAAAAACATGTGAGTTTTATGGAGGAGACCTCTGTCCATAATGTCTTATTTAATGTCCTGAATGTCAGCAGTGGGGATGGTCAGTGAAAGTTTTCTAGTAAAGTGCGTGTGCCTTAATGAGGGTTATGGTGAGGAGAGGTGCAGGAACCTGAGTTACTGGGCCGTGGGTCATTGCAGATGGGAGTTAGTCAGCCTGGGGAGCGCCTGTCAAAGGAAGCAGAGCTCTGCTGACAGTGTAGGGCTGCCTCCAGCTGTGTTGGGATTTGTTGAAAGCAGGGATGGCTCTCTGTTTCCACTGAGGAGTTGGCATTGTCATGGCTGAGCCAAAATGCGCTGAGGCTTGGGAAGGGCTCGGGGTAGCCTGCTGAGCTCTGCTTCCAGGAGAAGGCTGAAATGCTTCCTGAGAGGAGGAGCTTGGGCTGCTCTTCGTTCAGATCTAGCTCCATCCTCCTTTTGTTGACAAATAGAGGACATCAGAGATCTGTTAAGCTTGCTGGGGGTAGGTCGCAAATGTTCCTGCATTGCACAGGAAAAAGCAGAAGCGTGGTTTGATGGAATAATGCGTTGTATAACTGTGTCCTGCTCATACCACAGCCCCAGGGTCTGCCATCGGGGTGTGGGACCTCCAAACATCCGCATTGTGAGGCGGGAGGAGCAGTGCCAGGGCTGCTGCCAGCTGGAGCTGCTGGGCAATGCTGGGACACCTTTGGAGCTGGGTGCTGGCTGGAGGAGTGATGTGAGGCTGCCCAGCTCCTCTCTGCTCTGCACCACAGTCAGCCTGGGTGTTTGCTTTGGTCCCCTCCTGTTCTGAAGTGTCCAACACAAAGCTCAGTGCTACCAGATGGAAGCAAACCTTTTTCTTCCTCTCCTCCCTGCACCTGAGTATTTGTCTTAATGTCTCCTGCATGCAGAGAGGTCTGAGCAGGCAGAAGGTATGGATGGGTCCTGAGCTTCCTTCTGTGGGGTGGCACATCATGTCCATACATCTTTGCTGCCTCCCGCTGCACATCACTTTGGAGCAGTGTCACAGCAGAGCTGCTTCACACAGCAGAGATGTGTGTGTGGATATCTTCCTTGGTATCTGTGTGGGGCCACTGCAAGCAAAACTCGCTTTGTACGTGAGAAATGCCATGGAACTCTCTTGTGCTTTTCTTCAGATTCTGCTGGGATAAATGTATTGCTGCTGTGGCTCTTTCTTGTCAAGCACCCTATGGAGATGTGCAGAAAGCATGCTACCGAAAGTCTGTGTGTGAAGAAGAGGACATGCAGAGCATTGGATTGCAGAGGCCTGGAGCTCCTGCCAGCCAGGCTGCTTCGTGCTGTGGCTCTGCAGTGGGGTGTGAGGCATTGCTCTGCCGTCCCTGGGGGCTGTGCTTCCAGAATTGCCTTTTGTCTGACCTGGGATTTGAAACTGAGAAAATCACAAGCTCTGCACATGCGAGAGAGTACTTACAGTTTCATTTCATTTTGATAAACCACTGAAATAAAGAATTCTGGAGGGGAATGGCAAGGCGTTAGGAAGCTTGGAGCTGAAATGCGTGTTCCTGCTCACTAGAAACGTACCTAGGGAGTTCTTGGGAAGACAGTCAGTCTGGGTGACAACACCGCTGTCACCATGATGGTTCCTGACAGACTGACCAGCAGAGTGTTACATTGTCCCATGAAGTTGTAGTATGAAGTATTAGAGGTGTGGTAGGAAGCACAGCCTGGAGAATGGGGCACACTGCAAGGCTGGTGAGTCCCAGTGGCCGTCCCCATAGAGCAAAGAGGCATGTCTGTGCAGTGGCCTTGGCAGCTGGAGCAGCTGATCTGCATTTGTAGGGCATGAGGGAGGCGGTAGGTAGGCTGGGGGCAGTTCTGTGTGAATGAAATGCTCAGGAGGGCAAAAATGGGCAACTGTGTTTTAGTAAATGGCAGCAAACAGTGCTGAAATCTGGGCTCACTGGTGAAAATCGCTGCGGATGAATGCTACTGCAGTCCTGGAGTCTGGCTTAGGAACTTTTTTCCCCTTCTGATCTTGTAACAACATGCCCCAGATGCAGGTAACTGCTGTGCTGGAGAGGAGCTGGAGCTGTATGGCTTCACTTGGTGAGTTTGGTGCTGGGGAGGTAGGCTGATACTGTGTAACCTTCTATCCAGCTTGGCATTGCCCTTCATGCCCCAGTCCCTGCCCTGCTGCTGCTCACCTGGCTGTCACCTGGCCTTCTGCTTTCTCTGCTTGAACTCCAGTGTTCTCAGCTAGCTGTGTGTCTGCAGTAAGAACTCAGGATAGAAATAACTGTGTGCATTAAGTAACTGTTCTGAAAGAGGAAAAAAAAAAAAAGCAAAACATGGAGCAAACAATCACGACCTGTTCTTGCTGCTGGCTGCAGGGTAGTGCTGTCCCAGGGGATGTGATGAAGGGAACCATGGTGTTCCTCACATCCTGGCTCTGGTGCTGCTTTGTGCCACGTTGGCCTGTGTCACCCCAGCTCGTGCTTGGCCGCCGCTTGGGATTTCCGTGGGTGTGAAGCTTCTCTCTAAGTGCTTCTTTCCTATGAAAGTTTTTTCTCTTCCCTTCCATCCCACTCTCTCAAGTGATGGTTTCTTCACTCAGGGCTCCTCCATCCTCACTGTGAGCAATGGGCCGAACGCGTTTCCACCTTCCCCATGGCTGGCTGCAGTCAGTCGCTTTGATTAAGTGATCCAGGAAACTTTTCCCTGCCCATATTTCCTTCTCCCACCCCTACCATTCAGTCTCATCTGAATGCTGTAAGCAAGAATCGCTCTACTGAAGCTGTTCGGGAAGGAATCTGATGAGTTTTGTGCTGGCAAAGCTGCAGGGTGTGGTTAGCTCAGCAGAGGCTGTGGTTATCAGCCAGCGTGCCATCTCCCTGCTCAGCCCATCCGTAAATATGGCTTAGCGGTTATCAAATGTGTGGTAGCCAGAAGCTGGTCTAGAAGGGCCTTGGAGAGGAAAGCAGTGCTAAGATAGATCTCTCTTCCAGGCAACGTGATCATTTTTTTGCTTTTTTCCTTCTGTTGTAGCTAATTGCAAAAATAAATGCAGTTAGCAGTCTGAAGAGGACCTTCGCTTGCTGCACCATGCTGAGGAGCCTCGTGCGTGGTGGTTTCTTGCCTCCCAGCCTGGTTCGTTTTTAGATGCCGAAGGGCATTTTGAGAGTGTTACAACTTCATTTTACATTGTGTGTATATGAAACAGACAAAAAAAAAAAAAAATCCAGTGCTCTGCCAAGTATTTCTGGAAAGAACAAGCTTCATGGATAATCATTTTCATGTTCTACCTGCTCCTTAGTGTGTTAAAGCTACAGAAAAATCTTCTCTACCCTGAATGAAGGCTTTGAGGGATTGGCTTTCAAGTAGTCACTTGAGGCATGTTGATTAAGAAATATCCTCAATGCTAGATTTAATCAAGATTTGAGTAATGGAGTTGCAACTGACTTTTGCTCCTGGGATCCAGTGAACTTCCAGGCAGGGATCTCTGTGTGCTGCTCCCCAGGATATCTGTGCTGTCACTCCAGAGTGGACCAAGCTGGCTGCCCTGTGACAGCATGGAGCTGCTCCGGTCTGCAGTGGCTGTGGCACAGCTGTATGGGACGTTGGTGAGTCAGAGTGCTGGAGAGGAGCTTTCTTGCTTTCTAGTGGCCCTGAGCCTGCAGAGAGCCAGGACTTGGGAGATTCCCTTGGAGAATATGGGAGGTGCAGCAAAATGGTCCTTGTGCTGACCCAGGAGTGGTTGCTGCATAGATAGCAAAGGGCAACATGTGTACCTGGCAGATGCTCCTCGGTAACATCACTTGTCTAGTGGTAATATCAGCTTCCCCTTAGGAACATCCATGTCTGCCTGGGCAGAAGAAGGCTGAAGCTTGTATGGAGTTCACCGCATGAGGCTCTGAATTGAAGAGTTCTTTAACCATCAGTGGGATTTGGGCTGAGATCCTGTTCCTGTCCTGGGGAGGGGTTCTGCACAGTGTCTGTACTGCCCTGGGTGGCAGCGGTGGACAGCAGAACTTCCCATCTCAGAGTGGGCTCAGGCAGCTGCAACACGTGACTGAGTCAGGATGAATGAGGTGATTAAAAGCTCTGTGGCCCTTATGGTTCACAGTTCAGTAAAAGCAAGGGATGTAGAAACAGGAAACCGTTACTGACCATGCTTTGAAGAGGCTTTCTTGGCTCACACCTCCTCGCTGTGCTGTTTGTCCCTGCTGCCCTGTCTGGGCTGTATGCAGAACGCTGCACTGCAGCCTCTGTCCTCATCCTCATCCTGTTTGATACCTGAATGCTGGATTTCGTTACCGCAGCTCAAAAAGCGTGTTGGCTTCAGTTGGTATTTCTGGGCTGTACGAAGCCAAAATAGGTGGAAAAAATACACATTCACCTGAAGGCAGAGCGTGCTGCCATGTGGACCTTCCTGGTGCTTGTGTGCCTTTGGTGGCAGCGGTACAGCTTTGCAGTGAAGGGATTTGATTGAAGTTGCTGCTGGAGCTGAGTGTGTAGCACACAGGCTTTAATAAAGGAAAAATGAGGAGGTGACATAAGAGCACGCTGGAAAACCCCGCTCTGAGCAGCCACAGGTACTGCGTGCAGCATGAGAGGCTTTGCTTTGGAAGCTTTTTCTTTAAGTTCCTCTTCCTCACATTACGTCCCTCTCCACCTGCAGAGAAACAAAGAGGGTTTGTGCCTGGAGCACGGGGACATCCATGGCACTGTGCTGCCCTTAATGAGGCCCTCCCTGCTTTGCAGCGCTCCAACAGATCAGCGCTTCCAAAAAGATCTGTATCGTAGCAGTTGAGAACGGGAGTCCTTTCTGTATTGAAAAACCTGAAAGGAAATGGCATCCTGTGCAAACTGTGGCTTTGTGCGTGCTCATGTAATGGGCTATCAATCAAATTTAATTAAAACCGGGGTAACCGCGAAGTTTCGCTCCCTTTTAGTTCAGCGATGGCACGGGGAAAAAAAACTTTTATCTTTACAAGCTGCTCTTGCAGAAGTTACTGCTGCGATTGCAGTTAAGCCCTTGCCTTAAAGGCAGTGAAATTAATTTGCTTGTTTTTATAGAGAAATTTCTTGCCTGTTGGCCAACTCCAAAAATAGCTGTGGAGTCCCTAGGAGTGAAGCGTGCGCGCGCTCCAGTGCAGCGGCATCAGTTGGTGCAGAAAGACAGGGTTTGCCAGGCAGCGTGCGCTGGTTTCTTCCCGCAGAGCCTTTCTGCAGCTCCCAGAGCAGCAGAGGGTGCACGATGAGCTGCATGGCACGCCAGGACCCGCAGTGAGCTCCTGCAGCCCTGCTGGTGAGTGGGTAGTGCTGGGCTGCTCGAAACTCCCTGTGTTGGAGCAGCCTGCTCCCCTTGCAGCCTGGCAGCTGAGGAGACGTCCCCTGAAGAGACAGTACCCTTCTTCCTCCCACCCTCACTTTCTTTCTGCTATATATTGGGCCACTGAATAGGCTTGCATTGACCGGGTAACAAAGAAGTCTTTCAGGCCCTAGCTTTAGCCACAGCCAGTGTGCTGTGGGCTTTTGTTAATACTTTCAGTCCCCGCTTTCTCTTTCAGCAGCCCTCACTCTCATTGTTAATACATTTCAGGAGCTACGATGATATTTCTGCATTCATTTTGTTTGCTCAGTTTGCAAGAAAAGTTGCAGAGAGCCGAGAGGGAGCGGGCCATCTCATCCTGCTCTGCACCACAGAGAGCAGTGTGTGCTGCGGGCACATCCCATGGAGTAGGACATGGCTGAGAGCTGTGGGGCGGCTCATTGGCCTCCCCCCACCGCTAGGTCTGTCTCCATGTTCTCCTGGTTAGTTCTGGTCTGGCAGTGGAAGAGGAAGGCTCTTACTGACACAGCTGGTTCTGCTAAGTGGCTGTTAGGTGCTTAGAGAGCATTGTTCATGAGTTGTAAATTCATTCAGCATCTTACCAAGTGGATGCAGTGTGTAGCTTTGTTTTGCAAGTGGAGAATTGTGTGTGTGTGTGTGTGTGCTCCCTCCTACCAGCAGGTAGAGATGAGTGAAAACCAAGCTACTTGTCTGTGTCTGTGCTAGTAAATCTGAAAGCTGCTGGAAGGTGCTTTCTAATTGTTCTGAAACGTCAGTATGGGAATTAATTCCTGGAAATAAAATGTTAGGAAGCAGCTGATTGAAAGGGCTGATGCAGGCACGCAGAAATAAAGGTGAATGTGTCCAAGAGGGAGGTGGATGATGTTAGGGTTGTTTCTTCTCCATTGCAGACCATCGCTGGGGGAGCATGTCCCTTGATAGTGTTGTTGGAGACAAACCAGGCGGTGATGGAGTTAGTGGTGGCAATGAGCTCCTACCCTCAGTGCTGTGTCATGGTGCCCATGAAGGCTGCCATATGCTTTGGAGCATCTCAGCACACTCCTTTTTTCACCAAATAGTTGCATTTTTGGCACTCTAAACTGCTGTTTAATGGAATGAAAAGCTGCGTCGTCTTCCACTCAATGAGAGCATAAATTGTGGCACTCGGAGCAGTAAGCGTGACTTTATTTCTGCACCTTTTAAAGGACCTTGCAAGCGAGGACCTCATGACACTACTCTGTTAAATAGTATAGAACAGACTTGGAAGTCCTTTGCACAGTAAAAGGTGGATCTGGTGGATGCCGTCACTCCTGAGAGGAAGCTCACAGCATTATTGCAAATGTAGATCCTTGCTTGGAAGGTTTCTTAGCCCTGTGCTCCCCCCCCCTCCGACCCAAACCCTAACCCCCCCCAAATCTACTATTTCATTTATTACTCAAAAGGAGTTCCTGTAGCCAGGGATAGCTTTTGGAGTGCTCAGCTGCATGCTGCGAATGCTCTTTGTGCCTTGGTGAATGTTGTCTTAAGTTTTGTGTTTCTTGTCAGAGGGTCTGGTTCTGGTTTTTCAGTTATTATTTTTAATTTTTTTTTCAGCTTTTGTAAGTAAATGCCTGGGGTGACATCGCTGTGTGGCAGAGTAGCCCTATAGGGGGAGTCTGAATGTTAAATAAACCACTGTCTGAATTCCTCCCGATTTCCTCTACAAAGAGGTAAGCCTTGCCCAGTGTCTGGAAGGCTAATAAATAAATTCAGGCTCTCACAGATCGAGGGAGAAATAAATCTGAAGGCTCTGGGGTCTTCACCGTGCTTAAAGGTATGGAACGTCTCTGTGAGACAGCACTAAAACTGTCCTTTCCACTTTCATTTATTTAATTCGGTGCCAAACTTTCCCAACTGATAATAAGAGGACATTTTTCCTTGCATCTTCAGCCATTGAAATGCAGTGGGAGAGGGTTTGTATTGGGGTGCATTGTCCCAACCCTCTGTGCCTTTTGGTGTGCTCACTGTGAGATCCCTGCTCACGTTGTGCAGCTGCTGTGTTCTCCTGCAGGCCTCAATGGAGTGCTCTTGTAATCAGAATCTTGGGCTGAAGAGCCTTGGCCTATGTTTTGAACTTGGGTGCCCCTTTCACTGCTGCTCTTTTGTATCTTCGATGTTAACAGTGGCTACTGGAGTACAAAAAGTGGGAGATGCATCGGTAATAAATATGGATTTGCTTGCTTTTACACGTCCTCATGCTAAGTGTCGTAGTACTACTTTTCATGCAGACTCTTCCATCTCAAGTGTCTGTCCTTTTGAGATCTGCTTTTTTTTTTTTTTGTAGAATCACAGAATTGCTTGGGTTGGAGCCTCAAGGATCATCAAGTTCCTAGGCTCTGCCACAGGTAGGACTGCCAGCCACTAGATGAAGTACTTGACTGGATTGCCCAGGGCCCCTTCCAGCATGGCCTTAAGCACCTCCAGGGGTGGAGCATCTGCAGCCTCTCTGGGATTTCTTTGAAAATAGGAGCCTTCTTGAAGCAGGTGGTTTGTGTGGGGACGTGGATGGTTTGGCACAGCCCTGCACCAGAATTCAAGCCTCACAGATCAGATTCAGGAGATTCTGTCACTCCTTTTGCCAAATAACCATTGCATTTGAAAAACTTCCAGGAGCCAGAACCCCAGTTTGCTTTGTCTCATGATATCATGAATACCCGCTTCTTACATTCCTCCACTGTCATCCATCCATGTCTTCCCAAAGAAAAAGCAGCTCAGCCGTCCCTGTTTGAGGGCATTACCGCAGCCCCAGGTGATGAGACCTTAGTCCTGCTGTGAATCACCAGCAACCTTCACATATCCGAGCGCAGGGGCTGCTGTGAGCACAGGGGCTGCTCTGATGTTGTGTGCAGCAAAAGAGTTGAATGCCTCGGAAGGAAAAAATGTGCTTACTATTTTTAACTTTAGTTGACTGTAAGAGCCTCTCCTTCTCCAGCAAGGTTATGGCATACCTGGTAGGGGGGTAAAGACTTACAAGAGCTGATCATCCAGTGTGTGGTTCAGTCAGGTCAGGTAAATGCAAGGTAAAATAATGCAAAATTAAAACAGTTGAAGTGGAAACCAGGCTGTTTCCCTGGTCGGCTGAATGGCTCACAGTAATGCTGAGCAGGGGCTGCAGGCTGGGATGCTGACGTTCTTGCTCTGCAGCCTCAATATTTCTTTTTCCTCTTGGCTGCCGGCCGTCGCTCCTGGGATTTTCTGTGTTGGAAACACTTTCTGGTACAGTTGATCAAAAGGGCTCCCATTGGTTCTTCTCAGTGTTTTAAGAAGCATCTCTAAGCAGTTTGGTGCAAGTCACCCTAAGGTCCATGTAACCACCAGCAAAAGCCTCTGGTAAGGCTGGGCTGAGAGCTGCGGGCTGTGGCATGTGTGGGGAAATGAATCAGAGCTCCGGTCTGCAGATCCTGCTGGGGATTTCCACTTGGATTTCCCCTTCAGCAGAGCTGGTGGTTGTGATCACTGTGCAGTGAAGGTTAATAATAAGTGGTATGAAGGGGAAGTGAGCCCGCCATAGATAAAAGTGAAGCTACTTGGACTCCTCCAGGGGATCAGTGTTTTCAGTCGACCTCTACATGTGAAAAGCTGTGAGCGGCTCAGCTCAGCACAGGCACCTGCAGAATCTTTCATTTGGCAAAATTCTGACTTACAGGTTCTTACAAGTTAATTTTTGAAACAAAAGATTAACTGAAGCACGTTGTATTAGTGTGAGATTGGCCCAGCTTCAAGGCAGCGGGGTATTTGGTTGTGTTACTTTGCATTCTGATGGTGTGGGTCTTGGTTGGGATGTGGGGGTTCTGGCTCTGCCCCTCACTGGGATGCTTTTCATCATATGGCATTAGGGAAGGTTATGGAGCAAGAGCTCCCTGCAGGGATGGGGTGTGAGAGCTTTTTGAAAGCTGTGAGCAGTGCTTTGGGCGTCTGTGAAAAATTGCTCCCACTTAAATCTGCTGGAAACTTGGGGAGGATTTAACTGCTCCTGAGTGAAAGAGGCTTCACTACTTCCCCATATAGCAGATACCCATGTGGATGACTGGTAGGACTCCTTGCTCTGTGTTGGATGGGCCCCTGGAAACACTGCCTGCCTGCACCAGGCAGACTGTGCTCTGCTGAGCAGTGCAGGGCTGGTTCTGGCCTCTGGGGGCCTTCCTGCCTAATGAAGGCTTGGGCCCAGCATCCACGATAACAAACTGTACCTCGCATAAATTTAGAACAGAACGCAGCCAATTTTCACAAGCTGCTGCTACATTATTCTTTCTCAAGCTATGCCAGATAACTTTGTGCAGCAAAGCAGCTCCAGCTTTGTGAGCGAGGAATGCTGGGATGGCTGGTTGGGACCTACAGAGCCATCCTTCAGTGCTGGAGGAGCTGTGTGCACCCCTCCACTGCAGGTGTATGGGTGCTGCTGAGCTGAAGGGCTCCCAGTGCCTTACACGGGAGAAGTTTCACATGGAAGGTGGCTTCACAGTGACTAATTATCTTCTGGCTCACCTCTGCAGGGATGTGGGGTGTGAGGACTTCACTGGTGACATCCCATCCCTGTGGGCATGGCAGTTGTGATGACTTTGAGAACCTAGGTTCCTTGCTTTTAATTTTTTTCCCTTTGACTGCTGCCTTTTGTTTGTCCTGTCCATTAAAATTGTGCCCTGCATGTAAGTTAGGGCCCCGTGCTCCAGTGATATCACATTCCTATAGCTGCTCTGCCCGCACTGAGCAGGATGAGGGCTGTGTTTGTTCCTCAGCACCCGAGCTGCTCCCACCTGTGATCTGTCATTCCCCAGCACTCATGTAGGTGCCTATAGACTCCTTTCCCAGGGCACTTAATGCTTAGAAGAGAATCTCTTGTCCTTTGGGCCCGATAGTGCTGGGGCAGTGCTAGGGAGCTGCGGGCGTTGCCCCTGGGTTGTAGCCACGATCCATCCATATAGGTGTACTGCTGTGGCTCTGTGGATGATGAATATCACTGCTGAGATGAAATGGGATTTTAAGGCTGTATCCCTTGGCACGTTCTCCATGATGCCGTGACTTTTCAGCTGAAGGGAGCTGATGAAATCAATTGACTTTTCCATCTCTTGCAAGAGTCTGTATATTGTAAGAAAAAAATGTGAATTAAAAAAAAAAAAACAGCAGCTGCTGTTTGATGGAAGAAGATGGGCCGGTGAACAAATATTTTCAAGCAAGTTGGCCATAGAGTTGTCCATAGTTGAGCAAGAGCCGTGCTCCACCCCTGTGTTCTTGCTGGCCTGTTACAGGGCACAGCTGCAATGCAGGGGGCATCTGTGGTGCTTACAGCTTTCAGCTGGCTGTAGTCCTGTTCAGGCCATGCTTTGGTAACTTCCTTTTTGGAGATGCGATGGTGTGAGCTGTGGTGGGACAGAGCTTGGGGCTGCTGCTGGAGCCAGTCCTGTCCTTACAAAGAGCTTCTTCCACTTGTCCAGCACCCTGTCCAGGCCAGAGAAACTATTTCTTTTGGCATTTGAGTTGACAGAAACAGGCTGAGTAGCACAAGCAGATCTCCTTTAGAGTCTCACTGGTGTCAGGCGTGCAGTGCACTGGGTTCTGTTGCATTTGCATGGCCGTGGTGCCCATGCTGACAGCAGACTGCTCAGAGCTGGGTGAGACGAGGGCTGTGGGTGATTTACATGCCGCTGAGCCATCTCCAGTTCTCTTTAATTTAGAGATGCAAAACTGAGCCTGAAAGTAATGAGCTCCAGATAATTAGGTGCTTGTCTGCAGGTGTAACCAGCACGGCTGCCTGCAGCTGCTGCCCTTAATATTGCTGATTTTTATTTGGAAGCATTGGGGAATGAATGAGATGCTGGAAACACCACTTATTCGCAAGAAAGATGAGTTCTGCTGTTCTGTTCCTTCCACCCCATTCCATCAGCTGATGGTGAGGCTGAAGGGCAGCATGGCACAGAGCAGGTAAGGGTGCTGGAAGAGGAGTTTGGAGGAATGGGCACTGAAAGTGCAGAAGTTGGAACCTAGAGAGATGTGTGCAGTCTAGATCAGGTGATGTTACGGGAGACAGAAGGGGCAGGAAGCGTCTGGGTTACTTAAAAGGAAGGACTAAGATAAATGACACATAATTAAGTAAAAAGCTCAAGATAAATTTCAGGACAAGTTTTTGTTTTCAGGGAGAGTGCTGGTTGGGAGCATGGTGTGATCTGGGTAAATGCTGACAGCCTCACTGCTTGCAGCATCTGGATCAGGACTGTGCTTGGGAGCAGTGCTTAATGAGGAGCCCTTAATTAGCAGAGGGACAGATGAGCCCACAGCTTTGTTAGTGCTGAGTGGGGATGGAGCCCTGTGAGGGAGTGGGCAGCAGTGGGGAGCTGCCCAGAGCAGTACTACGGTGGGCGTGAAGCTGTTAGGGCAGCACAGAGCTGCTCATTGTGGTGGTTGTTGCATGTGTAAAACAGCCCATAACTGAAAATGTAAAGAGAATTTGGTTTTACCATTTAATACGGAGAATAAGGTGATGGATTAAGAGGCCAGTTTATATAAACACTTTGTTGATCCACTTACATTTAATATGTCCTGACAAATGGCAATGCAGTTGCAAGCGTTGACTCCCCATGTCGCAGTAAGTCTTTATATCAAGCTGTAAAACATTGAAACAAGCTTAATAATAGCTTTTGCCTGAAGATCCTTTTGGTTACAAGTACAGCATGTGGCGACTCTCAGAGCATGGTTTGCATTTGCTTGCAGCAATAGGGCTGTAGTGATGTGCTGCTGTATGCAGCCTGGTAGTTGTAGGCAGTGTCCCCACTGCTGCCATTTTGCAAACACCTTTTAATGTGTTCTTTTATTTGAGCAGTCAGCAGTCTGTCCTTGTTGTCAGGGTTAATGATGGGTGTGAGGAGGACATGGCTTCTTAGGGAATTCTTCACCTGTGTCTCTGAACCTCTGACTGCAGTTTGATGTGCTCGTGCCAGGAAAAGTTGTTTATTTTTTGAGGTGTCTCGATGAGTTTCGCTGATTTATAGTACCTGCTAAACAACCAGGCATGTGGCTGTGCTGCTGCTCCACTGGGGCACAGGGAGCAGCTGCTTTGGAGCAGAAAGTTGGGAGGATTTGCACAACTTCTTCCTGAGGAGTTCATGCTGTGATGGAGTTCCCCTTGGACATGGAGCGCTGATGCTGCCCAGCACCACCTGGCTGAGAGACCCTTACATTCCGTGCACTAGAAAGCTGCAGATGGTGCGAGGGTTTGGGTTTGCTGTGGTTCCATGCTGTGAACACTCACCTGATGGCTTTGTCTCATATTTTCAGCTATTTAACGCACAGCTGTGGTACAAGCAGGGCCATGCAGTGGGGTTGTTTAACCCCAGGAGCTGGCAGAGGGCTCACTTGTGCTGGACAGGAGGGAGATTTCGGCAATTCCTCCTGGCTGTAAGTGCTGTGCATTTGTTGTCTGTGTGGCATGGCAGCATGGGTGGCATGCAGTAATGGGGGCTGAATTCCCCTGGTAGCAAAGAGTGCTGTGAGCAGGCTGTGCTAATCACCTTGCTCATGGCCGCTGGCGCACTGCTCTGCCCATCCCATCCCATAGGAGCCCCAGGAGCACCATTCTGCCCTTCCCATCGCATCAGAGCCCTGGGAACACTGTGCTGCCTGCCCATCCCATCCTGTCCCATAGGAGCCCTGTGAGCACGGCTCATCCCTTCCCATCCCTTCAGAGCCCCAGGAGCACTGTGCTGCCCACCCAGTGCCTGCATTTGCCGGAAGCCAGGTGCAGGAAATAAGCACTTTCTCCATCCTTTGGATCTCATTAAGGCTTAGCGGAACTTAAGGCACTTCTGTATCCATCAGTCTTGTGCTCAGATCAAGTCCTGTAGCAGAAGGACTTAGAGGTTTCCTTTTAATCTGATGAGAACCATCGTTTTCCAGAAGTGATGTGGAAGCAGCTGCCCTGGCAGCAGCCCACCCTGCCCTGGGTGCAGACAACGAGCTGACTGCTCAGAGAAGATTATTTTCCCATGGCTTACATGAGTTCTAAAATAAAATAAATCCTAACCTGCTCGAGGATAAAACAGTTTTTCAAATTCAGGAGCGGTCCCTTTTGGAATAGGGATTGCTCATTTGTTTGTTCCTTTCCCCCTTTATTTCCTCTGGGTCCCTCGGTACCTTTCCAACTCAGGAGAACTACAGCAGTTGGCTCCACGCCGAGACGTAAAACCTGTTGGCAGCAGCTTTGTTGTGTGGGCAAGGAGGGGGCTTACTGCCACAGGGAGGCAAATGCAAACAGGGCGATGGTGGCTGTGGCTCTGCGTGGGGCAGGGGGAGGAAGCAGTGCTGCCCCCACATCCCTCCCTGTGCTGCTTTCCTTAATGTGCTGCCCTCAGGATCCCCCGCGGCCCCGTGCAGCAGCCCCTGGAGGAGCGGATCTTCACACCGACCGTTTCTGCTGTGTACAGCACTGTGAGTATCTGTGTGGTGCTGCTGGGTGCTTTCCAGCACTGGAATTGCCTGGTTTCTTGCATGCAAGTAGGTAAGCAGTGATGCTATCTCCAGGACTTGGGATCCCTTCCTTTCCTGCTAATTCAGCAGAGCAGTGGGTTTCCTGGGGCAGAGTGGCGGTGGGACGAAGGTGTCCTGCACGCCATTGGTTGGCTCCATCCCCCCTGCCTTGTGCTACATGTCCTGTCACAGGAGCAGCCCAAAGAGATTGGGTCTTTGCATTGAACTCTCTGTTTGAAGCTGCAGAGAAATGTTGTGATGGCACAGTGAAAACCTGGGATGGGTGCTTTGGCTCGCTGATGTTTGTTGATAAAGCTGGGTCATTGAGGAGACTCAGCTCCAAAACGCAGCGGTGTTTGTGAATGTACAACGCCATTTTCCTTTGATTCATTTTTTTTTTTCCTGTGTGGCAGTAGCTGGAAGCCCGGCTTTATTTCTAAGCTATGCTAAATCAGCAGGGCCCTGGGAAAGCACCGCTTTGCTTTTCTGGTGGGAGAGTGCACATATTTATTTGGAATGCCAAAAAGGCGCTTCCAGGCAGCTCCTTGTTATTTGGGAAACAGGAAGGAAAGCTGTGGATGCAGGGAGTTCCCTCTGTGTTGTGCAGCCAGCATAAGTGTTTCTAGAAGAACACAGGCTGCTGCAGAAGGGTTCCTCTTTCCCTCATCACCTCTGTGTCCAGGAGATCCCCCCCTACCTGATTTTTTATTTCAAATCTTTGTGAGGGTGCCTGTGGGGGAAAAGGCAACTGTAAAAATGTACACTGTTGTAAAATGTAAAAGTAACTGTAAAGAATGAGCTGAAGTGACTTTTCAGTGTGGAAAATACCCCCCTCCTTGGTGTGGAGCAGAAGGCAGGGCTGGAAATGTCTCTGTGCTTTTAGAAAACACAAATTTGGGAGAAGGTGTTCCGCTTTAGGGAAAGGTGTGCCATTTATCAGTTGGGTTCCATGAGAGCTTTCCTCCCAAGCCCTTTTAGCAGGTGGCAGAAGTGGAGTAAGTCCTGGAAAAGCCGAATGGGAACAGGAGGCATAAGTGCAGCTGATCTGGGAGCTTGGAGGTGCTTGGGTGTGCCAGAAGAGCTGCTTCTGGGTGTGAGGTTTTGGATGTTTCCTTGTAAGCTGCTTCCTTCCTGATGGTTCCCAGCAGAGAGATCCCTGCAGTCACTCCTACGCCTGCTGTGAGATCCTTGTCGCATAAAGCTCTGGGCGGGGGTTTATCTCTGGTGGTGGGATGAGCACTCCCAGCCCACTTTGGTGCCCTTAAAGGGATGCTGAAGGCAGTCCTGGAGAAAAGAGATTACAGAGGGTGAGCAGGCCCAGCACCACGTGCTATGGGCTCAGGAGGCTGTTCTGCCTCATGGAGCATCCCGGGGATCTTTGTGTTGGTCAGGTGGTTACGCTGGGTGCTGGAAGAAAAGAGGTTCTGCCCAACTCAGTTTTTGCTTCATCTCAGGGATGCTTGTATTGTGCCCTGTCCCTTGTGGTCTTACCTGAGGGTTTCCTGGATGTGGCTGTGTGCCTGAAGTTGTGGACTCAGAAGGGGAAGAATAGTACAAAAGATTCAAACCCAAAGAGAGAGTTGCAGCCTGAGTTTACCTCACATATAGTCTGTTATTTTTTTAAAAACATGGATTAAGGCTTCTGAAAAACAAAAGATACAGATTACCTAGCAAATTAGTATTCAATTTTCTGTATCTATTTTTAGGAGAATAATTTCAGCTCTGGATTTATGGACATCTGCTTCCTTAATAACCTCAGCCCAAGTTTGTGTTGTAGAATGTCCCCTGGTAAATAGCAAAGCAAACCCTGGGTTGAGCATTCTGGGACAGAAGTTGTGCCCTCGTAGACTTGTTGCTTTTTTAGCTTGCTATCATGTAAAAATCTAACCCTGACTTCAGTTTATCTGTAAATATGCTGTATGTAATACTGGGGAGCTCATCCCTGACCTGCCCGCAGGGTGAGCACCAGGGTGCTGTAAATCTCCCTGCACTGAATGGTTCTGGGCTGTTTCCAAGCCTTGGGAAATTGCACATTATCCTTCCTGTTGACAGTGCAGCTGTTTCAGGGTTGGAGGTAATGTTTAAGAAAGCATCAATATTTGGAATGTAACAGCACAACTTGGGAAAGCGTGTAGTTGAACTCTCTAACGTCTGCTCTCATGCTGCCTTGCTGCTTGGTGCTAATGCTCAGCTGCAGATGGAAAGCCAGAGCTTTGCTCCTGCCTTTCTGGTGATGCAGAATCAGTGTGGTTGGGTACAGCATGTCATGGAAAGCTGGGAAGATTGCAGCCTGGAGCCAGAGTGGTGCTGCACAGCACGGCCCCAGCGTTCCTCCCCATTTCCCAGTGGCTCTGGCTGGTGCTCTTGGTTTTTTGGTCCTTCCCCATTTTTCTTATCCATATGCATTGACTTGTATGGTGTCTCACTAAAAATAAAAACAATAATAATACTGTGCTGCTAGCTGCTTTCTTGAGAAGAGTACAGCATCTCTGCAGATCGGATTACTAATGTTCTGTTTTACTAACAGTTTATCTCCACACAGGTTACACAAGTAGCAAGACAGCCGGGTCCTCCTGCCCCATCCCCTTACACTGCACATGAAATAAATAAGGGACACCCAAATATTGCTGCAACGCCACCGGGACACGCGTCATCCCCGGGGCTCTCACAGGTAAGAGCACCAGAGCAGCACATTCCCAGCCACACTCTTTTCGTCTCGTGTAGTTCTTGGCTTTGCTGCTCAAATTCAACGTATCGGTCTTGTCTGTGACCACTAAAAGCTGATGGAAGGACACCTGAATCTGGCTGCTGAGGACAGGCTGTTGGGCAGGGTGACACACTGGGACAGGCTGGGGACAGCTGCATGCTGCTGTGAGCTGGTGGTAGTGGCTGTGCTGGGGAAGGCGAGCTTCTGCCCTTCCTGCCAGCCTCTTCAGTATGGGTGAAATATTAAACCCCAACTGACCTTTCAGACTGTGAGATGTGTGAAAACAAATGAGGTCATGCAAGGAACACTTCACCTTGATGTTGTGCATTCTAGATAAAGCTTAGTGATGCATGTCTGACGGTGCTTGGTGGGAAAACTGGAAACCTGTGGTTGTGTTTGAAAAATGTGCGAATGCTTGTCTTCTATGAAGTGGGAAGTCAGAGGCTGAAGTATCTATTCAGGATCACAAGTAGCTTGCAAGCGTCAGTCAGCAGTCTCTGAGCGGTGCCTTGTGCTTTCACTGCATGGCTGTTGGTAAGGAAGTCTCTGGTTTGAAGGAAGAGCACAGCAGGGCTGCAGAGCAAACCCTGCATGCCAACCGGCTTGTGTCAGGGATCACAGAGCTTGTTCCTGGTAGATGTCGTCAACAGAGGGAAGCTAATCATGGTAGATAAAAGGGGAAGAAAGAGTACATTCTAGGCAGCTTCTTAACAAGAAAACTCTAATCAAGGTTTTTTCTTCCCTTAATATTTTCCTGTTGAGTCAGTGCATACGTAGATGGCAGGCTGTGTGCCAGATCAGCGCTCTGGCCAGCCGGGAAAACGCTCGTTTCCTGTTCTGCTGGCTCTTAGCCTCTTGGAAATGAGCATCAGCCTGCTTGTGTCACTGTGATGCTGCTAGCAGGACCCTAAATTGTGTCCTCTTCAGGATTCAGGGGCTGTGTGTTCCCTGCTGGCATGGGGCAGCCTGGCTGGTGAGACTGCAGGGGGGTTGAGGTGTGCTGGCTCAGCCACATGAGGTCGGGGCAGTTCTGCAGCGGTGCCAAAAAGCTGGGACTTGGTGGCAGAACAGCAGCAGTAGTGCTTTCTGTTTGTCAGCAGCGTGTGCTTGTCTGTGCCCTTAGCTGGTAGGGGTTTGGGTCAACTTGAAGGCTGTGGTTTGTGGTTCTGTTTTTTTTGTTGTTTTTTTGCCTTCAACCTTAGAAATGTTAGCGTTCGCTCCTGTAGCTCACTTCAGCTCTGGTCAGATGTTGAGTTGCAGTGTTGTATCACAATAACCAATTTTCTGGCTCAGGGGTGTGGGCTGGAGGCATTACCTATTTATTGCATCTATCATTTTTCTCCTCTGGGTTTTTCTAAATGCCCTCTTGTGTTTGCATTAAGAAATGAGGTGAGTAGAAGTCTCTTGTTTGCAGACCACATTTTTGGGGAAATTCTGTCACAACTTCATGTATTTGTTTTCATTCGGGTAAACAGTTAAAACTCCTTAAATCTCTCATCACACAAACATTTTTCTGTGTTCTGATCATTCTTTTTCTCTGTTCAAACTCTTGGAATCCTGCTGTTTCCCTTTTGAGGTAGAGGGCCTGGAGCTGACATGGAGCTCTGATGAGTGGTGTGTTCCCGAGTTCTATAATGGCAAGGTAGCATTTCATGAACTGCCCCATATCTCCACAGCCCACACTGCTCCTGGTTGAGCAGAGGTTGTCTGTGTTTTCCAGTCGTAGCTGATGTGTGTGTTCTTGATTTGAGAGCAACGAAGATGGTAAACAACAGAGCACTTCATTTGGGTAAGAATCTGATTGAGACATCATTCTTCTTTCCCCAGACCTGTGGGTTAATGGATATTCTTAAAACTGAGTCTTTTCAGGGTAGGGACGGCCATGGAGGCAGTAATGGATGAAAACGTGTGTGTGTTTTTGGGCTTCAGGTACTGAGATCTAAAAACCATTTTGCCACAGTGCTAGCATACATGTCACTGGGGTGGTCCCAGACTGCTCAGATGCCGGTCAGCCCAGCGCTCTGCAGAGGGATTGCTCCCTGTACAAAACTCGGGTGCTTTGTGGCTCTGTAGATATCTGTGATGAGCTCCCAGCATGGCGTGGAGAGGTTCCTGGGCCTGGGGAAGCGTGGCTGGGGTGGCACAGGCTGCAACAGCATACAGGGTGGTTAGTGTCTGCTGTGGGAAAAAGAGCCAGGTGCAGATGGGTGCTGTACTTCTGTAGCTGTCTTTCCCTCTCCATTTAAACGAACAGAAACAGATGGCTGTGTGCTGCTGTGGCTCGGTGTCTCTTTCACTTACTCTTCTGCCTTTTCCACTTAACATAGCCAAACAGGAGAGAGGGTTGCTGTTCAACTTCTGCAGTGACCTGCCTCTGGCACTGTGCTGCCCTTCAGAATTAGTTCTGCAGCATGACAAGGAGAGCTTGACAGTGCTGAGAATTGCACCCACAGCAAGACCAGCACTTCTGCTTCCCTCCGCTTCCCAAATTCCAGGGCCTTGAAGTCATGCTGCTCTGGAATGTGTTGAGCTCTGCTGGTGTTCGGGAGCATGCAGCAGATGTTGCTGCAGTGATGCTACGGCAGATGTGGACTAGCAGACACGACATCTCACATCTCTGCACTGTGCGGCGGGCCTGTGCAGCAGGAGAGGAGTGGCACAGCCCTGCCCCCTCACCTGGGACTCATCTGAGACTTTCTCAGCATGCAGAGAAAAGGAGAAATCAGCAGAAGGCAGTAGATAAATTTCTTCCTGGGCATGGCAACAGGAGCAAGTTCCACTGGGCTCAGGTAGGGCGTGGGGCACAGCAGGGTAGTGCTTGCTGGAGCACACTGATCCCTCGCTGGATGTGAGGCTGTGTAGCGTGGCGTTCACATGGCTGTTATCACAAAGCAGCTGAGGGGCTGTAATTCTGCAGCCCTCTCTGGCTCTGCATTGTGGTAATTTATTGTGTAGCCGTGCCTAGCAAAGGGAACAGCAGTAAAGCAGAGATCTTCCAAAGCAACCAGACTGGGACTTGGAAGGAGACAGCAGAAGAGTGCTTCCCTCTGTCTGCTGAGCGATGAGAGGAGGAAGAGGGGCTCCTGCAGCAGGAGGCAGCACGCAGAGCTGGGGCATCAGGATGGGGCTGCTCAGCCTTCCTCCCCAAGGCCTCGGAGTACTGTGAAGGATCCCAGGGAGCAGGCGTGGTGGATTCTGGTGTGCGAGATGGAGGAACACAATGCGGGAATGGATGAGCAGCGGTATTCCAAACAAGACACTTTGTTCCTCTGCTTTAGCTTTGAAGTGAGGGCTCTGATGTGTATGCTGAGGTATTCCTCTGGTATGGGACAACAGTGTGTAACACTAACCAGCAACTCTTGTAACAAATAGCCGGGAGTTTCATCTGTAATCATGAAAGCCTCAGGTCTTGCTCCAAGCACGCTGTGCACTGCAGATCAGCGCTCTGCTGGGCTGGCACTGCCCAGCACCCTGTGGCATCTGGTGGGACCTCCCTCTGAAGCTGCTGTACTCATTGACAGCTGTGTTTAATAATGCCTTATCTGTTTGTAACAATGTTGAGATACGCTCACAGAAAACAAGAACGCAGAGAGCTGAATTCTCAGGATCCCGGTATACAGAGACCTTGACTTTTAGGTGGCTGATTTAAATCCCAAACAGATTGTACTAGCTGAAGCTTGTTACCATCTGGTTCTTTGCCTTAAGTGAAAAGAGTTTTGTGGTCTCATTCTGGTCCTCAAAAATGTCACCATTTCAAAATTAGCATTTGTAACAGCACTGAGATATTGCTTGTTACCTCACGGCCTGGGAGGCTGTGCCAGGCAGTGTCTGCGTGCCATCTGTGGCATGTTATAGGCAATCCCCACACCCCTTCTTTATTATCTTGGCTCCTTCCTGTGGGAGCTGGAGCTCTGTTGTAACCATGGTGTTTATTCAGTATTTCCCTCCCATCATCAGTTCAGATATCAGATGCTTTTAATGAAGTAACAGGTTGTCTGCCCATAGCAGATAACAGGGATAAAGAACACTGACGTAGCTGTGCTCTCGGGGTGCCAGCAACATGCCCTGCAATGTGCTCATTGTAACACTCATGTTTGTGATGCAGCTCACTGCTCCTGAGCTTTCTGAGGAGTCGCTGGCTGCAGGTGGAGGTCTGAACAGTGAGTTATTTAATAGCTGATAAACCCGGGAGAAGCATAATCTCCTTCTGGCCTTTGTGTGGAAGGGCAGCTGAACTCTGTGTTGTGTAATAGGATTAGGGGCGTTTTGATGGGGTTAACAGTGTGGGGAATGTTTGCTTGTGTAACATCTCTCCATGGGTTTGATGAATCCCCGTGCCTTTTACCTCCTTAGTTTTGACTTTGAAGCAGGGGAATGCACCTGTGTTTAAGAAGAGCTGCAGGCTTTTGTGGAACTCTGAGACAGCAGGAAGGGTACAGCATGGCTTCAAGTGCACATTGATGCCATTAACTTCCATAATTATTTAGCCTTGGAAACAATTTTTTAAAGCCATGGTGTGGAGGGGATGAATGAGTTGGCATTAATATTTGTGCACTTGGGATGGGCTGAAAGCAGCTTCATTCTTTTTTTCTCCTTTCTAATAAGGAAGGAGGAGAACCTGTTACAGGTTGGTCACCTGTACATGCACAGCAAGGGCTGCAGCACAGACCCTGCATGGGATGAGGTCTGTGCAGAGTTGGCCCTTGGGCCAGAGCAGTCGTCAGTGCTGTGGTCTTGGGTGGCCAGCAGGTGAAGGTCAGTGTTTTTCTCCTTCTTAAGCTCACATGCTGTCAGGTGTAAGCTGCCGTGGCTTGGAGTTGCCCTGGTCCATCTCCTGCTGCAGACACAGAGGTTTGAATGCAGAGCTCACCCAGTGCGCCTGGGTGCGCCGTCCAGCAGGAGGATTGTCTCTAACGTGTCACAGCTCCCTTTCTTCTGGAGGTTTTGTCCACATTTTCTGTTAT